CTCTCTCTCTCTGTCTCTCTCTTCTGCGTTCCACATGCCACATGTGTTAAACTGTGCGCGCCGAATCAGCCGAGCCATGTCCACGATGATGCTGGGGTCTCATGGCCACCGGCCCGGAGGACACGTCTTTGAAGGGCATCCGCGAGATCGGCACGAAGGAGCTCGTTGGTTACACGAGCTTCTGGGTGGCATGAGGACTGGTTCTGTCCTGCTTCGAAGCTGCCTTCTACTCAGGTGCCAGCTCCCAAAAGAAAGACTGAGACCAGCACAAAGCTGGATGATCGGCTCCTATAAACAAGCGGATTCGCAAATTGGACAGTTGGGCTTTTCCAGGGCACTCGAAGAGACGGCCTTGCCTCGGCATTTGCCAATTTTCGCTTCGCGGCAACAGACCGCGTCTGCACTTCCACAAAGCGGCTCATGCGGCTCGCGCTGCCTCGCGCTGTCTCGCCTCAGAGTTCGAGCTCAGAGTTCGAAAAGGCCCAATTCTGATGCCTCTGACACTTGGCAAGGTTTGTCTCTCTCTGCTCTCTCGCTGCAGGCCGCTGTACCTGGGAGCGACATTGGGGTCTTTCGCTCCGACGCAGCTCTGCGCTTGGGAGGACGGCCGGGGGGAGGGCCGGCCACCGGGCCTCCACCCCTTTCTCCACTTTCGTCGACGGTCATAGACTGTTATGCAGTCAGAGAGAGTCAGAGACACTTTGGAAAGCTTTTTTTGTGGGTGGGAACCTATTTTTTCTCGATTCTCGGCTCTGAACAGCTCCAAGCCGCAGAGTCATATGATGAGGCTTCCCAAATCCCCACTGCCAGATGCCGAACACGCAGCCCAGCATCACACTCGAGAAGGGTTGCCTTAATCGCCGATTGCTCATTCGTTTCTCCGTTGTGTGGGCGCTGAGCATTGCCGCTTGCTTGAAACTGGCGCCTCTCTCGATCAGCGTCGTTGCTGTACTTTACTAAGGGCCATGTCAAACTGCTTGAAGGGCATCGGTACCTTTTGCAGCCGTGGCAAGAAGGAGGAGGTGTCGATGTCGGAGCGCATCTGCTTGAAAGCTCTGCCGTAAAGCCCTGTTGGAGAGGCTCAGCCCCTCGCGGACCAGGCCTTCGCAATGGTAGGAGAGTCCAATTTACTGTAGCTCGGTCAGTGTATGTGCCGAGCAGCTGGCACTGGTCCAGGCCGCCTCGGCCGCCTCTGCTAAGCCTGGTCCTCGCGGATGGTTTGCTGACAGCATCTGCCATAGCGCACGTGCATGTGGATGTGGCAGGGTTCGTACTGTTTTGGGCCGTGAAGCCTCCAAGCAGATTTGCGCCAAGCCGTAGAATGGGCCTGTGAATTTCGGCCAGCTTTGTGGCAACTGGAAAATTCATCAGAGCCGAGAGGTGATGCGAAGATCTAGGCAAAGGATGGGGGCTGGAACATTGCGAAGAGTGGGCGGGCTGTTGGGCATGTTGCAGAAGAGAGCGACTTTCGCCCCAACGTGAAAGGCTGTGGAATGGCAGGTCAAGATGGATTGCATGTCGTGTGTTCGTTGAAAGGCTGAAACTTGTACTTGTACGTTGTAGGGAGGAAAAGGGGTTAAACACAAGAAACCATTTTTGGAATGGAGCGAAGTTGTGCGGCAAACTTCTCCTCGGTTGTGTTGTGAAATGTGTTGCAAGCGTGTGCATAAGATCAGATTCGAGCGTCGCTTGCCTCGACCTTGCAGGCAAGCACCCTTTCAGGTGGGCCTTGCTCCAGAGCGCTTCATGTTACGAGTGTCGGCTTTCTCCGTTTACTCCGAGCCTGGAAAGTGACAGGTAACCACGTCGGATGGTGCACAGGCCAAGCAAACGCCCAAGACGGCCGAGGCCGCACGAAGATCACGGTTGCTTCTTCACGTCTCTTTCGGCCTTGTCAGGCTCCGGCCTCCGCGAAAGCACCAGAGGCCATGGCAAGTCTGCCTTTTCTCTCAGCCTCAGAGAGCACCGGGAAGCCGAAGGTCGCCGTCTGTGAGAAGCCCAAGCAGGAGGAGACCAAGCCCGGCGCGGGCACCGCCCGGCTGCCCGGAGAGCAAAGCACAAGAGCTCTTTACTCGTAGGATCTCCACAGGACTCTTCGAGGATCTTCTAGGGAGCAGCAGTAGCCTCAGTAGCTTCTTCTTAGAATCAGGCAGCTCCAGCTCCAAAGGCCAGGGGCCCAGCCCAGAGCCCAGAGCTGAAGGGTTCTCTCAGCGCCTGGCTTCCTGCGAGGCTGCCTCCAGCCAGGCCAGCGTTTCTCTGTGAGAAAGAGAGTCCTCTCTCACCGTCCAGGAATGTCCACTCTGAGGCCCAAAAGCCCGAGAGACGCCGTGCACCGGATGGCCGAGCCTACACCTACTCCGAGTTTGTCAAGTGCCCCGCCATGCTCGTTCTACTCCGCTGGAAGCTGCTCCCCATGTCTGCACAAGGTACTTCGGCAAGAAGCAGGGTGAGATGCAGTGGACCTATGCTCGCAGAGTCTAGACTCTAGACTAGACACCCGGACTCCATCACCGGGTTTCTGCCGCACTTTGGTCATCCGCAGTTGGGCAAACCGCAAGTCGTGAGCTTGGTTGATTCTCTTCGGGTAGGCAGCTGGGGTTTGGAGTTTGTGTATTTTTCGGGCCTTGATGGCCGAGAACGCGGGTGGCCGAAGTTCCGTCAAATGCGTTTATGTTTCTGTTGGTGTTCCCTGGCAGCTCCGGAAACATTGCCGTAGTGTGCAAGGGAAGGGTCCGCTCGTGAGCGGTTCCACTGCAACTTGATTTCAATGTGCAAACACATTTTGCCAGCCTTGCCTGATGGAAGAAGTGCTGTCGCGAGATAGTAGTGATAAACTCATGATATACCATCGGCAGCTGAGATCATCTTCAAGACAGGAACGAACTCATCTTCGTCAGATGGCTTTTCTCCATCAGCGAACTTTTGACGATGGCGGGCTTGCCACAGTTTGATTGGCCATCATGGTGTCCTGTCCCAGCACTGAAAGACTGTTGAACAGCAACGTGCCCGAGAATGCAGGGCAAAGGCAGGTTCAACAGTTCGCATTTCGAATAGGGGCACTCATTGCTTGGCTGCAGTGGAGTCTAAGTCTATGGACAGCTGCATTGATACGGAGAAGCTCACAAAAGTCTGATGCCAAGTCACGTGCAACCGTTGGACATTGACGACTAACCAGGATGATGTTCAACGGAGATGCTGCTTGTGTTCTTGCAGCAGAAGCTGTTGTTGTGAGCGTTCACGGGCTGTTCTGGATATCCCCTTCGTCGTCTGTTTCTGCCTAATTCAGACTAATTCAGGACCTTCGAAATGCAGTTGGCGCTCGCCAGCGTGTCTTTGCAGCAGACATCCGAAGCGCTGGGCTGTTTTTTCTCTTCTTGTCCATTGTTCTGCTTGGGCCATTACCAGCATGGTTGCATTCTCTACAAACTTTATGAGCACCTGCAACTCTAGGCTTTGTGCTGCGCCGTTGCGGAGAACTGTTGGTTTCCCGAGAGGCCTCCGGCTGGTTGAGAGCACAGAAAGCTTCTTAGACTCTCTAGACACTTAGATCTTTCGTAGGGAAAGTCGGCACGGCAGAGAAGGGCAAGTTGGAGTTTCAAGCGGCCTCCTCCAGCTTGCGAGGCTCACCTCTTGTCACACCTGGAGGCACTACACGTTCGGATTGAGGAGGCGCGGGCCCCGCGGGGCCTTCGCCAGAAGTCTGTGGCCGGTCCGGACACGAACCCGTCGGAAAAACCGGTGCCAGGTGGAGAAACGGAGGAACGGAGGAAGTTCCAAGGGCCCTCGACTCGCCCTCCCCAGTCTGCTCGCCACAGGCAGGGATCTCTGCCGAAGGCGGTCGGGTTGGGCGGATGTTCGTCTTGCGTCCAGGCCTTTGGACCAGCCTCTTGTGCGTCTTCGGTGTAAGTGCGGGGGCGTCAGATGCCACATGCCACGGCACAGGCTGTGGTGGCTATCGCGCTTGTTAAACTTAGAGTATCTCGGCCCACTCAGATTGGACCATCCTCGGATGGCGAAAGCTCATTCTTGCTCCAGGCGTGGGGCAGTGATGATTCTATTAATTCTATTTGTGGCATCTCGCATGTAACTTCTCCAAGATTTTGCGCTGTGGCATTCTTGAAGTGCTGGTGAGAGGAGCACTGCTCCTTTTTTGTGTGCCGCGCGTGCCAGAGCTTCATGGTGCCGGCATACTCTGCTGCAGGCATCACTTTGTGTCCTGCTGCTCGCACGCTTGGCGTACAGCTGGTGTGCCTACAAAAAGAAGCAGCATTCAAGCAACCAGACTTGGCGGCTCCTCACGAGTGAAGAGTTCAGGTACCAGGTCTTTCTGCGCAACATGCGCGGTTTCCGGACGGCGGAGCACTCCGAAGAGTTCGAGGCCATATCTTAGATTTGTGTGCTTTTGCAAAGGCTCTTCGCGCGGACAGACTCCAAGACTTTTTTTGTGGAGGTCAGAGACCTGCGTCGCCAGACATGCTCTTTGCACAGGCAGCTTGCAGAAACGTCAGAGGCTGAGAATCTGCATTGTGACAACTCGCTGGGATCCCTCACGCACATATGCGCTGTGGGCGCAGCCAGAGGCAGCACATGATTCTGCAGCTCGAGGACTCGGCACGAGAGATGTCACGGCTTGTCTTCGAATGTGTTGACCTGTCGACCTTCGCCTCGTTCTGGTCCTTGCACGAGCTGGTACTTTACCGCGTTGCATGCCACGTTTGGCTCGGATCATGTCTCACGCAGTCTGGAGGGCTGTCTAGTACAGCCCAGCAAATCGCTGTCAAGTGGCTACGAGACCTTTTCTTCTTTCTTCGCGGATGCTTAGGCTAGGCTCCCCAAGCCCAGCGGCCTTGCGTCGTTTGATAAAGTTTGGCTGTTGCAAGCACGCGGCTCTTACTTGATGTCTGCTGCCGTGCTCTTTGCTGGCCAGACACCTGTGTCTTGGGTGGCATGGCGGCTCCTGTTGAACGAGACAGCATGTCGGGAAACTCGACAATCCGAGTCGATATCCATCTTGTTTAGGCTGGCTGCCTGTGGCCGGGACCGCGTTCGGCCCCGGCAATCAATGTCCACGCCTCGATGATAAGTCTCGGTCTCAGCATGCAAGTGCGGCGAAGATCTGCGCCAGCATGACAATCAATAAGTTGAACAGTTGTGCAACCTACTCAATTTGATTTCAATGTTGGCAGAGGCCGCAGGATGGCCAAATTGCAGATCAGATTTCTACACGCCATATCCAGTAACAAGTCAAGGACTGCGCAGGTGCCCACAGGCAGCACTACCATCTCCTGAGATGTTTCTGGTTCCCACCGTGGCAGTGCCGCGGCTGCATGCAGTAGACGCACAAAAAAGGGTGGCTGATCAGGTTGAGGGCCCACGAAACTTGGCGGTTGCCTGTTGTCAGACCATCATATGTTGGGCTCTTTGCAGCTCAAGTCCTGGAATTGCTTGGATGAGCAAGACACAGACACTGCATGCTCCCCTCTCCTCGTTTCCACATCAGTGCGCGACGCAGTTCACCGTGGCTTAAACTATTAGCTTTCCGTTTGTTGAAAGTCGCAGGCAGGAATTGGGCAGGTCAGGCCGAGCTTCGACCTTTGGCAAGTCGTGCACTTCCTTTTCCCTGCTGGGGGTCCTACGACAGCTCAGGTGGCAGCGCTGGCACTAATGCAGCTGCGGTCCGATGAGTCTGCTGTCGCTTGACACACATCGTCGTAGCCGCACGAAGTCTACCAGCCCCGAGCTTTTCACAGGCATCAAAACAGCTACAGCAACCACGCGCCCCTGCTAGAGATTGGCGAGCGAAGCTTGGCAACTCGCTTCGGTTTCATTTGATTTCGCTCTCACCAAACGCATGGGCCCTTAAATTCCCTTTTTCTCCGTGAGTAGCTCTGCCATCAAAGGACAGTTCCAGGTCGTCGCCTTGCCTGGGAAAGGCCGGGTCAATAATCGAAGCTCCAAAGAACATGGCGTCTCCGTCTGCTGAAGATCGCGCTGCCTGTCCTCTCATGCGGACTGCTGAAGGGGCCCTTCAAAGCTCCAGATTATGGGTTCTAGACCTCTGCCGGGCCAGCTTGCTTCTATGCTGCTGGCGAGGTGCCGTATCTTGCCGCATGAATCTGCATCTGTACTTCCACCCCTGTTTGTGTATCCCCTGGCGTTACTCTGACTTGCACTGCAGCCAAGCCTCCACTCGTGCACGTTTCGAGTGGTGCAGTGCGTTGTACGTGCCATCTTGGAAGTGAGGCCTGGGTGCTGTAGCCCTCTGCCGCTTCGAGCCCGGGGATCTGGTCGCTGAGGAGGCGCCGCTGTGACCTGGCTGGCATTTTGAGCAGAAGACAACCCCCTTGGCGTGAGCTTGGTGCCGAGGCTGCAGCTCACCCAAAGCGGATCGGCCGCGGAGCAGTTCCAGCCACTAAGCCTTCTAAGCCTCGAAGTTTGCTGCAAGCAGCCCAGTGCTGGTGGGACCCGGTGCTGGCCGAGGTCTCTTTCAGCTGAGGCCCGGCAGCGTATCCTGAACCTGAGCGATTTCGCTGCCGAGCCATGGCCAGATGTTGCACAATGCATTCAATGCCCGTTTTCTTCCCGAAAGCATCGTGGTGCAGGGTTTTCCGAGGTGGTCTAGCCATGGCAGCATGTGCTGATGTCGATGTATCTTGTCGTGAGGTTGCATGACATGACTTGAGGTCTTCGAGATGCCCTTAGGTTTTCGTGAGGTTGCTGCTTATCGGTTAATCTAGTTTAAAGTGCTCACCGTCATGAACAGCGGGAGTCGCCACTCATCGATGTGCTTCATAAATGGCGCTGCGCTTTATTTGCTGGTCTCGATTCCTCTTCGAAATTGACAGCCCTGTCGGAGAACGTTCTCCGGCAGGCGCGATCCAATGTAGATGCATGTAAATTGCAATGCATTGGGCTCACGGTCCGCATCCTTAGGTAAACGCCATCCACTGTAAATCGCATTACGTTGGCCTCACGGTCTCGAACTGACAACGCCCGCGGAGTTGCCGGCGTCCCCGAGTCCTCCGGTAAGCACCATCCATTGCTAATTCCAATACATTGGCCTCATATTGGCCTCGGAAGGATAGTTCTCTCGGTGGACACGGCGGGTCCTCACGCTGCGCGTGTGGTGCTTTGATTGCGAGGCTGGCAAGCTGCTCTGAGGAAGCATGCTGGCCATGTTTGTGAATCCCACCAGTATATTGTCAGAGAAGCATTTTGGGCCGTGCTCCTTGAACGCGCACTTGTGGCGAAACATGGGAAGCATTGTGGTCATGTCTCTGAATGCGGCAGTACATGGGTGGAAGTCGAGGGTTTGTAGAAGGTGTATGCCATTCACTGCGGACGCACCCATAAGAGAAGTTGAAAAAGAGGACTTGTAGAAGTGATGAAGCGGGTGGAGTGGATGCATGAGTGAATGAATGGATGCCTGGCTGAATGAATGGATGGCTGGTTGGCTGGATGGAAAGATGGAGGGAGTGGATGAATGGCATGCCTGGATGAATGGATGGATGCATGGATGGAGGAAATAATATGGATGAGATGATAATCGGTGTTGCCTCGCCGCTCGAAGCTCTTGCAGGACCTTCGTTCTCTAGCTAGATGAGGCTCGATTTCTGCCGCTTGCTCACGACAAAGAGGTATGGAAGCAACGCGATGAGCTCGTAAAACGGCACGTACACTAGGTACAGCGCGAGCTTTTTGGTCCAGTCGGTGCAGTTCGCCACACCTCCACGTCTCAGGAGAAGACCGTGCAGGGCATTCTCGACACGAACTGCTTCCAGAAAAGTCTTGGATCTGCAGACCGGGTCCTGTGTCCTACACTGGCTCGCTTCAACCACTCATGTGTCCCAAATTGCACCTCGGTTGCAAATCGGGCTGCCAGGCAGCCAGATCCGGCCATCTGCTGTCTGACCCGGTAAGGCCAACACGTCTGGGACAGCGATGCGGAAGTGATGCGCATCTTGGCCTCGACAGACGTCGTAGCTGGCTGGGGCCTCAGCTACGGCCACCACGCTGCGCGCGCGACATTTCCAACCCAACACCTGTGAGGCGAAGAGCTCAGCGTGGACTACATCGACATCCGTCAGAGTCGCGAGCAGCGGCAAGCTCTGCTGAGCACGATGCCCGGTAAGTCGCCGGAAATGCTGAAGTTCATCAAAAGCCTTGGGGGTTGCGGTCCCTAAGGCCGCAAGTACGGCTTCAAGTGCACCTGCGCCTCATGCCAGAGTGAAGATGAGGAGAGTGACCGAAGGAGGCCTCAGGGCTGCTCTACGCTGCTCTGCATGTTGCAGCCCACAAATCTCAGAGACAGCAGGCAAGTCTACATATGCAGCCGCAGCCGCAGCAGTCCTCGCTTGCAGGTTGAGCATGGCTCGCATTGATGCCGAGATCGGAAGCGCTTCCGCAGAAGAAGTCCTCAGGCTCTGCTGAAGAGGGCCACGTGATACTAGAGACGCTGTGGCAGCTGCTCGCGAAGCTTAGTCAGGTTGGCACAGCGACTGCTGCGCCTCTATGACGATGAAGGGCTCCATCTTCAAGCTCTACGAGGCCTGAAAAAGCAGGTCTCCAAGGAGAGCGCCGGCACGCTCCATAAACTGGGCTTCTGCAGGGCGCGCGGCCCTCGACGCCTGCGCGGCCTGCGCCAAGCGAGGGGACGCCCAGGAGACCGCTGCATGGGCCTCCAGGGCGGCCGAGAGCTACTCCCGTGGTCTAGGCAGGCCGCTTCTTTCGACTTGCTTTTGCCCAAACTCGAGTTCGGTTGCTTCAACCTAAGCATTCCCTTCTCTGTTGCGAAGTTTAGCCAGTAGTCATGGAAGAGAACTTCGGTGCCTGCATCTTCGTGATGTTCCGATGCCACGAGCCAAGCGTCCTGAAACGACTGCAAATTCCGCCGCGTTCTTCCCGTGGCAAACTTTCACTGCCGATGTTTTTTTCCCTGCCATGAATGTGTTTGCCTGCCCGTGGGCCTGTCTTGTTGCGTGTTGCTGTCTTTTGTAATGATTTCCTTGTGCACATCACAAGTTTCGGTCCTCTTTCGTGCTCGTCCGAGTGCGGCGAAGGGCATTGGCGGACCTGTAAGTATTCCTCCGAGGAGTATTCCTCCGAGGAAGCTCAGAAAAGAAATGGGTCCGTGTATGCATCAAAATCAAAACGCTCTTTGAAGGCCTTTTGCTCAAGTGCGTGGTGCTTGATTGTTGCATGTGAAGCTGTCTTGTGGTCGTGCCTGGAGGTCCTGGACACGAGCTGGTGTGCCTCGGAGCTGTGTTTGGAGGGTGCTGTGCCAAACTACGGTCACTGCTTTGTTCACTGAGGCGCAGAGCACTTGACTATGCAGCCAGCCCTGAGAGCCATCGAAGTTGGCGAAGATGAGAAACAAGCGCATGTACTCGTACCAGAGTTCGCATCAGTCCAGTGACATTTTAGTGCCTGCGTTTTTTTGGTGAGGACCGCATAGAGAACGTCAATGTGGCCATACCTCGCAGGCAGCGAGAGCGCCCGGAACCTGGCTTCCAGATGCGTGAGTCGGCTGCGCGGGCAGCGGGGTGGGTGTTCTGCAGGTCTCGGCCCGGAGCTCGTAAGCATGGGCGCAGCGGTCTCAGAGCGCGCTGAGCTGCAGTGCGGAGTGGCCGGGCCGAGCTGACTGTGACGTTGCCGGGCTCAATGCAGGAAGAAGCCGCATGCAAGACACAGGGAGTCTAAAATCGCATTTCGTGCCCCGAACTTGCATCACCAGTGCGCCACAACAGTTGCAATGGGTTGTGAAGAATCCAAGCCGGATCAGACCCAGGAGTACTCCCGTCCTGTTTCAAGCAGGGCAGGCTTTCTAGCTGTCAGATAAACGCTACGATGAGGGAGAGTGTCGATAAGATTCGATAAGTGTTGTGCCGTGGCCGTCACGTGAATGTCAGGTGGACGGAGGTACACTCAGCGGAGGCATCTTGGGCTTTCGGGGCTGTTGAGACTGTTGAGCTTTTGCAGCACTCCGCCCCGAATCAGCACGCTTCACTGCATAGCACCAAGAGCTCAGTGTGTGCCTGCTCAGGGCGGACGACGCATAGAAGTGCCTTGGCTGTGCTGGCGGGGCATCATGCCCTACGAGCCCTGACGCATCCCATAGGTCAAGATGTCGGTGGAACTCTACATCGTCATCACATCTTGACGTGGGTCGTCCGCTGTTCTTGGTTCGTAGTTTCATGCAAGCCTGAAGCTCCGCAGCTGCACTCTGACTCTCGAGCTTGGTGGCTGCAAGCTTCGAGGGTTGCACCCGGTCTAGGATACAGCAGGAAAATGCAGGAAACAGCTACCGGTGCACTCCGTATGATCTCATCCTTCGCGTTTACACATGATGCTTGCCACTTTGCTGTGATGCAAAGGCTAGTAAGAAGCTACTAGTCTCCAATGCCATGAGCACAAGCGAACTTTGAACCAAGACGGTGAATGAACATTCCCAGCCGCCTTGGTCAACTGAAGTGTGTCCGAGGTGCTAATTCCAGACGGAGCCGTCGAAGGAGCTCAACTTGATTTCAAAAGCCCTGATGGAGTCTGGATGAAGGTGCGGTGAGTTCGACGCGGCTGTTTTGGTCAGAGTCCCCTCAGTCCTTCAAGCTTCCGTGCACGTGGCGCGAAGGCAACGGTACCAGAAGGGTATAACCCTGGCGACAAGTGTTGCTTGCAAGCTTGTTGGCTTTTCGCTTGGCCCTGCAACGTGTGGATGCCAAACTGTGCCAGGATATCCGTACTGGTTCCAGAGGAAGCGCCGAAGAAGGTGACCAAGTAACATGTCCCGAAGCCAGCAACAACGAGCTTTTGCCAGGAGAAGAAGTTCAAGTCTCTGCACCAGGAACGTGCGGAGCCAGCAGAGTATGCTATGCTGTGTTGGTTGGGCACGGAAAGAGGCCTTCCAGTACATGGACAAGAAGTTTACCGGCTACATCACGGATCACAGCCTGTTCGCTGAGGTAAGACACCAGCCGTAGTCAAGCTCGCATCAGACGCGCTGTGCAGCTATTACCAGCAAAGGTTGCCAAAGACCTTCTCGGCCTTGAAGGCACCACTGAGGAGGCGGGGGTTACAAGAGTGCCTACAGCTGCTGTTTGGTCAAGCTTCGGGCGCTTCGTGCATGTGATGCTCAGATTTGGAGCACTCTCGACCAGGACAGTCCTGCTGTGCTTTTTGCTTTGCTTGGAGTCTGTGTGAGGTCTGGATCTCCCTAAATCCATGTTGGAAGGATGGCAACGGGCAGGTGAACTGGCCAGAGTTTGTGGAATGGGCGGAGGCCTCGTCTAACATCTGTGCTGCCATGAGGGAACACTGTGCGACATGCCGGGGTGGCTGTGGGATTGAGCACACTCCTGCTTTGCTCGACAGCTCGAGCTCCTTTCGACCTTTTGCGGTGCCAGTGGGGTCCGTGTAGCCTCGAGTTTTTAAGTAAAGCAGGCGAATCACGTGGAGCTGGAGCTAGGCGGGACAGCGGAGGGCGCATGAGAAGAAAGAGGGAAGACTTCGGTTTCGAGCGCCGCAATGCGCTGCAGGTGCTCCGGGTTTGGGTGCCGACGGCGCCGTCGCCTTCCCTCCCCTCTGGCAGGGGCCAAAAGACGATCCCTCCTTCGTCGGGCCGGGGACCCGAGATCGATCCGTCTCGGGCTCGGATATCCGCGGATTGAGTCCTTCTCTTCAGGCAGTATGATGTCGAGGATGATGACCATTTCAAAGAGCTCATCGAGCTGGTGCGAAAGCTCTGCCCCAAGACCCACTTACGCCTTCATTGCTCATAGACCGTGCTCGCATCATGATCCTTGGAAGGACCTACAAGAAGGTCTGGACACGAGATCGCAAGAAGACGGGGTCGGACAAAGTTCCCGCGAGCTTTGAGCTTGTGAAGGCGCGTTGTGCCGGGCAGGAAGCATATGGCAGCGTGGAGCCCAAGAGCCCCCGGGGTTTGCCTCGGAGGCGAAGCGCTGCGAGAACTTGAAAGACTGGCTCGGCCCTCGGGGCTACGGCCAGAGCCACACTCTGCCACACTCCGACTCCGCTATGTCTCTGAGCTGAGGAAGCGCTACTACTTCCGCCGCCACCAGCACGGAGCTCGGCCATTTTTCTCCTCTTTTGGACGCCGCTTGCTTTATCTCGCTTTCAAGCCCAGGATCGCCCATGCTTGCAGCCACAAGACCGGCTTCATGAAGAGACCAGTCCTGACAAGTGAGGCATAATGTGCTTTGCATCTGGCTGTCATGACGCTGAACCTGCAGAAAATCATGGTAATGACTCCTTGGCCAGGCGAAAAAGCTATCTAAGAGGCAAGGGCTGCGAGGTCACTGCAACGAGCTGTGGTCCCAGCCGAGCGCAGCCACTCTCCTTGCACGGCCCCAGTGCCCGAAGTCACTAAGGTGGTTCCTTTTCCATGGAACCAGTCCTGAAGCTGCAAAGTCCATCCTCTCCGGATGCGCGCCTGGCAATGTCTTGATTGCAACTCGAAGTAGCAGAACAGCGGAATCTTGGTCCAACACGGGAGATCCGGACAGCGCACACAGAGTGGACTAGTGGACCTGTGGCCTCCAGAAGCAACTTAAGCAAAACAGCCTTGTCCTTTCAGCTGGCGATTTCACCATCAGCCTGGCCGGGTCGGCGAGGGCCCCGGTGCTATTGCAGCTTCTTGAGGAATGACTTTTCGCCACCCTTTTTCTGCTTCAGCAAGCAGCCGTCTAAGCGATCAAAGGCAACTGGCACGCTCTATGGTCCGAGACTCGAGTGCCTTCTGCCGATGGTCCGCCGCAGGGAGGGACCAGTCACTTCAAAGATAAGTGCGGCTGCTTTCTCCTTGCGCGATCGTCCCTCTCACCATTTGCCGAGGCAGAGGCACATACTTTGCAGAGTCCATCACGAAGGCGCTTCGTTCACGGGGCCAGAGTTCGGATTTCACACTCTGGACAGCAAGTCGGAGTGAGCCTCAGGCAGATGAATATGCGAAAGAAGATGATGACGGCCTCTGCTGCGTGTTGGTGTGTGGGCGGCTCAGATCGGCGAAGATGTGGACGTGAGAGGCCCACCATGCAGTTGACATCGACATTGAAGGGCCCCCCAGAGGCAGAAGGCATAGCAATCTCTTTGCTGGCACCCTCCTGGAGCCTCGGGGGCCATTTCAGTACAAAGCGATTGGAGAAGACTAGGTTGGTGGGGGGCCAGCAAGCATGGTCACCTTTGAGAGACATTGCGTAAAATGAGACCGTCTGAAAGAGGAACACATCTCCATGGGGTGCATGAAAGTCTTTGTCCAAGGCCGAGTTGCTGCAGGGCATGTCCTTTACAACGATGAGGCTCCAGCTTCGCCCGCTGTTGATTCCTCAGGGGTCTAATTCGAGCCGCAGGTCACCCCAGATGCTGACAAGCGAGTGCCAAAGCTTTTTCCACGGCTGTCGTGTCGCCTTGTTCACCTGTGGGCATGCAGGAAAGCAGTAGCACAGTTTTCATGCAACCCGTTGTTTGCCAAGGCTGCAGCAGAGCTGCATCTCTGGAGAAACCCATAGCATTCTTGGCGACCGCGAGAAGTGCCGAGGCACCTTCAAGGACAGGGAATTTTGATGCCGCCACATGTTGGCGTTGACAATTTTCACACGTCTGGCGCACATGGGCACTTCTCCCGACCGATTGTTCGAGGAGTTTGTAATCTTCGATGCAGATCAAGCCTCCTGCTCAGTGGTGTGATTGAAGCAGGTCATGGCTGGTTAAAGCCGTCGAGGTCTATGTCGAGTACGCCTTGTTCTACCGACGGAAGTACCATTGAGGCATGAGTCGGTGGAGGTCCCACTCCCCGAAGGGGCGTGAACCTTCGAAGAGGGCGTGGCTTTGTACATTGTATGGTCTGTATATCCAAGAGATGCAATCCGCAGCCTCCCTTGTTTCCTGATTGTTTCTGTTTCCTTGTCCTGACACGTCTGGGCTGCCATGCGTCCTGAAGAGGCCAGGTAATCGGCCTACAATTGGAGCTGTTGCTTAAGAGCTTGAATTCTTAACGATCTCCGATCTTCCGCTGATGACCAGCGTTTGGACCATGGCCATGCCCCCATCGAGGAGTATAACCGCCTACGTTAGCAGAATTGCTCGTGGTGTTCACTCCCGTTCCGTTTGACCACGAACGTGTGGCTTGGGCAAGACTGCCCTGAGCAAAGTCGCTCCGAGTTTTGCAGTCTGCCCGTGCTGGCATGAGATGTGACCTGGTGCTCCGTCGTGCACTGAAGACTCCCGCCATTTTTTTGTTGCCTGCAGACGACGACGATGTCCTGTGGAAAGACTGCCTGGGTTGCTGCCTGTGCACCTGATCTAAGGTGATCCTATTGGGCTGGATTGGATGTTCTTGCACGCTGGTGGCATTCTCAGGTCGCAGGCCGCAGACATCCATAGTCAGCCAGCCGTTGAAAGAGATGACGATTTTTCAGCTTGGCCCAGCTTAGACACGGCGCCCTCACTGTCAGATCTTATACGGCCTTGGACCCGAAACCTTAAACCCTTAAACCTCAAACCTCATTTAAACCCTCTGCATCACTTTGAGGTCTTCCTCTGGCCGAGATGCTTCGAAATGTTTCACCTGTGACGATTGCAAGTGCAGCCCGTGTACAGTGCCAGCCGGAGGCCGCACCTGCAGCTAAAAAGGCTTGGGGATTTTAGGGTTTAAGGATGTACGGTTTTTTTGGGTTGGGGTTTACGTGCTGAGGGCTTTAGGGTGTAGGGTAACAAGGTTTTAAGGCGTTAGAGCTTTGGGGTTCAACGGTCTATGGGCTCAGGACTTGGGTATTGAACTGAATTGTGTGACTCGCCTGACTCGCCATAAAGCTGCACCAGGTTGCCAACAAGGAGTGAAGCAAGTCTGAGGAGAACATGACGATCTCAAGGGCATCAGTCGTACTGAGTCGTACTCACATCTTTTGAATGTTCCTTTCCTTTCATGGGTTGCCATTCCGAAAAGAGTTGGGGAACTTTCAGCAACATGGCCCATGGAGCAATGGGCTTTAACAGAAGTTGCGTCTAGGAAGATTCGAAAGCTCTTCTTTACACCTACACACTGTGACAAGTGTCATCCACATCTTCAGCTAGTAATCCTCATCTGATGATGCGACATGTGCTTTGGTGGTCATGTTTCCAGGCTCGCTCTCCGTGTGCTCAGCTCATACTGTCCAGCTCGCGACCATCGGAACGCGCACGGAGGTCCCGGGAGAAAGGTGCCCTGGTGTGTGGTGCCCTCACACCGTGTTGGAACCTTCTCCCTGGGTGTGAGCCTCGGGATGCGGGTTCGATGCCAGCTCAGTGTTGCATGGTTTCCAGGCATGGGAGTGAATGAAGCTTTGGCCATCATCCAGAAGATGGGAAGTCCTTGCCCTACGTCTTCGTGAGTGTCGAAAGTAGTTCTGTTGCCTTGCTTTGCCATATCCTGAAACCGCCGCTCGTAGGTAGTGTGCAATTGTCTTTGGATGTGACGACTGATATTCAACACAGTGGGGCTGGCCGGGGTTATCAGGTCCGAGTGTCCCCAAAACTTGTTTCTCCAACATGTCCGGGGCGGCCTCTCCCCAACCGTTCTCCTGTCTTAATTTGCTTTCACTCTTTGATCTGGTCGGAGTGAGAGACCAAGACTCCACGCGGAGAAGAGACCCCCAAGTCGCATGACACGAAGAATTTTCTCTTGGACTCTGAATCCGTAATCTGAGTCTTTCTTGAAGCCGGAACATGTCGTAGTTGTTGAGAGTTTATCGCAGACATGGATATGGAGAAGGACCGACAATCGCTGCGGTATAACTACTGCGGGCTTGCTGCCTTCCCATGCTTGTCTCGGGGCTTGGGTGCACGGAGGTGCTTTTGTTGTTGTCGGCTTTTCATCTGCAGAGACAAGCTGGAAGCTGGTGGTCAAACATCAGTCGGAACCAGACGCTTTTGACATGTTCAGGCGCCCGTCGGATGGGTCAGCTGTCCATGGTATAGCCAGTGTGGTGCTCTGAAGCACTTTGAGTGTCCTCAGTGAACTCAAACGGTCTTACACAAGTGAAGACGGTGCGGGAGATACCCAGACATTGCTGTCTGACGTCTTCCCTTACGACGGCACAGTCTCGCGGTACCCTCCGGGTTAGATGCTGATATATGACGATCATGAAGAGGGAGGGAGAGGGGTCAAAAAAAAATTTAAAAAGGATCAAAAAAAATTTACAAAGGATCAAGAAAAAATTTAAAAAGGATCAAAAACAAATTTACGACTTACAAGGCAATTTGTTGCTTTCCTGGCTTAGTGGCTTCCGGCTTCTTGGTTTCTCGGCTTCCTAGCTTTTCGGCTTCCCAGCTTGTTGGCTTCTCGGCTTCCCAGCTTGTCGGCTTCGC